AAATTAGAAAACCTCATACTTGGGAAAGTATGTAAAAATATAACCAACACACCTAAGATTTTACCGTTCAGTACCATCTTCAGTGGCATAAGAGTTCCCGTTAAAGACTTGATCCTCAGGAAGTAAAGGAGGTGACCTCGTTCTTTTGGCAACTGGGATGCTCGTCAAATTGCTTGGAGCAGCTTCTGAAATAGTATTGCTTGGAAATTCCAAAGATCTTTGATGTACCCGAGAATCATGAGTACTAAAACTGGCATTTGATCCATTATTCAACATAACAGGTGATATAGAAGGCCTGGAAAGGGAAGCACATACTAGCCTCACTCAGATTTTTCTTCCCTTGTTTTGGGGATGCAAAAGGCTATATGCCCATATAAATTCCATAAGAAAAGTAACATATTTTGTAAGTGCCTAAAATTTCATTCAATTTCTCATTCCTAAAGTTCCACTATCACTTCAAAGGAAATAACCTCTTAGATGCATTGTTTGTATAAACAAACTGTTCCTTTTATACGAGAAGAAGATAATAAGAACTCCTTTACTTCTCTCCTTATGCATTGAACAATACATCTTAATCTTTTTTGTGGCTGCCCAGCACTACAGAAAGTACACCCTAATTTGTCTTCATAAATTGTAGATATTAAGGTGTCTACTAATATTAGCTCATATAACTTTTAGTCATTTTTAGGAAAATGAGAGTATTCATGGACAACTTCATTAATACTTGGTAGGGAGTAAAAGTGGGAACCTTGTTCGTTTTGGGACTTGAACATCGTCATGTTTGACAGGAAAATTTCTACCAGACGCAAAAGAGCCCTCAAAATGTGATACTAGAGAAGGTCCTTGATGAGCCTGCAACTCAGCATGATCTTCTAGCAACTTTGGCTGATTTTCCATTCCAGAGGAGGAAAATGCACGCCTATATAGAAAACAACAGCCTAATCAAAGAAAGATCACTATGAACAAAAAGTGTGGTATTGAATAAAGTTATCTTACAGATTAAAGCCATGTAGAAAAGTGACACACATAAGGCAACCATGCATTTCACCATTAATAAAAGATGAAGAATGTAACTATCGGGGAGAAAAAAGATGTTCAGACTGCAATGACTTTTCTTTTCTATGATGATTCCATAGCAATGAGCAGACATGAAAACATAAAGCGACCAGTTTTTTTGGAGATAACGTAGCCAAACTATTATGTTCTTGCATCAAAGTCTCCACCCAAAACATAGTTTCCCAAGTACCGTACATAAAAGTGTTGCAACAGCATACAAAAGATGACTTCCCAAAGATTAAAAGTTTAGAACTCACCAGACCATTTAACATACACACACACACACAGAGTTGAACTTGGAACTTACCCTTCTACTCCAACAAAAGGATGCAAATCCTCATAAGAGACCAAGGAAGGCGATCGTATTCTTGGAGTAACTAAGTGACTGCACAAATTTACAGGCAAATCTGAGGGGCTACTAGATTAAGCAAATTAAAGCAGAACTAATAAGGCTAGAAAGAAAAGGAAAATCAAAGCATTCTTTCAAGGAGCATATTGATGCAGACATCATTGAAACTTCCTTTTAATAGAGTCTGGAGCAGATTTCCTTTTTTGTTGTTAGTTTCCTAATTTATTTGTTAGTTTCAGTAGGATTTCTAGTTTTCTAGAAATTGAAGTTTCCTGATTTATTTAGGATTGGTTTGTTTTCCTATTCCTTTGTGGATTAGGATATCTGTTCTAGTAAGGGATTTTATTCCTATTGTCTCTAGGTTTAGTTTACTATAATTACAGCCCATGTAGTTCATTGGAAGATAGTTGAGTTATTGAATTAAAGTTTAGTTTCCAGAGATTGGAATTCTGGTGTGAAGCCAAGAACGGGTGTGAAGCCCCTGGAGTGATTCCAGACCTATCTCTTTATTCATCTAATTTTCTGTTTTTCATTGTTTTCGCTTCCGCTAATCTGCCTAAATCTACAATTCACCCATATCAACAATTCAAGTAGCATATTGGTGACATTACCAAAACACCAGGAGCATATTGATGAGGACATCACTGAAACTTCCCTTTAATAGAGTCTGGAGCAGATTTCCTTTATTGTTAGTTTCCTAATTTATTTGTTAGTTTCAGTAGGATTTCTAGTTTTCTAGTTTTCTAGATTTCTAAGTTTCCTGATTTATTAGGAATGGTTTGTTTTCCTATTCCTTTGTGGATTAGGATTTCTATTTAGTGAAGGATTTTATTCCTATTGTCTCTAGGTTTAGTTTACTATAATTACAGCCCATGTAGTTCATTGGAAGATAGTTGAGTTATTGAATTAAAGTTTAGTTTCCAGAGATTGGAATTCTGGTGTGAATCCCCCCTGGAGTGATTCCAGACCTCTCTCTTTATTCATCTAATTTTCTGTTTTTCATTGTTTTTGCTTCCACTAATCTACCTAAATCTACAATTCACCTATATCCTACATCACAAATCCTCATGGAAACTATTTAAACTCAAGTATAAAAGCAAAATAAAAAGTAAATCTCTTCTGTTATGATCTCGATGGTAATTGCATACATGACCACAAGAAAGGTAGAAAACATAAATTAGCATCATTATGAACAGTATAATCAACACAGTTCATATCGTTAAAGTTAATGGCCTGGACCAAAGTAAAGATTGCAGTCATATAACACAATTTTATTTGCAGCTACAGAAACACAGTTTGACAGCTACAGTAGGTAGGTTGAAGCAATGCAATTTTCAAATGAAAATAAGTGTAAATTCAACATATACAGAGAACAAAATGACAAACCTACCAAGAAAGAAAGGACTTACCTCCTAGGGACACCTTGAGTGGAATTTCTTATATTTTCATCTTTAGACATAAAGGGAGGAGATCTGGCCCCTTTTGTGTCTTGGAACCTAGCAATCTTGGCCGTAACACTAGTTCCAGAATTACGAGAAACAATAAATGATGTGACTGCAGATGGCCTTTCTTGAGCCTGTGTATCATAATTTTTGAAAAAGGATCTCTGCCCATCATCCCAACTCGGAAGAGATTCCGTGGACCTGGGAGCAAAAAGTAGCTGCCAATATGAGTTATGACATTTTATGATTTAACAGGAGCAGTGACCAGGTACCGTAAAACACAGGAGTCACATTAAACACAAATGACAAATTACATGATAACAAATGCATGTATGGAAATGCAAAGCCAAAAATCAGTATCGCTAAACATATATAACAGATAAATATATATAAATGAGGACCAGTATAATTACGGTGCACCTGGACCTTGCAAGACTGCATTTTCAGGACTTGGGTTTAGGGTTTAGGTGGGCATTTGTTTAATAGAGTTATACAGCATCTAAACAACCATTAGCTCAGATTCTAGGTTTAATTTCTAATCAAATTATTGCATGTGTCAATTTCTCCTGCTTGTTCACCTCCTTAACTAATATATCTTTCAGAAGAAAAGGGAAAAAGAAAACTAATTTTTTGTACACTATGCAGCCAAAACGCAAAAATATGTATACATTCCCATGGTTTTGAACTACAGTAAACTTCTAAGTGGGTAACTATTGTCTTGACACGTTAAACCCAAATATTAAATGCGCATACGCCCCAGGCACTCACCGCTTTAAAACCACATGCAAAACCTACTAACCAATAGTATAAGAGTTGCTAATTGGTTTTCCGAATAATCTGAAAAGTTGAAGAGATGAAACAGGAGGAGCCACATTTATGGAGTATAGGTACTCCCACATTTGTGAATGGAGCATCCTTGTGAAGGTACAATAAAATATTGCTGCAATTATAATTATGTACTCAAAATTGGTTTTTATGCATAACTGAGCACATTCGTACATAAATGATTTACCACAGCATCACATTTACTGTGACATATGCATATAAATAAAACATACACGAAAAGGATTTTGTGACAGAATTGAGACAGATAACAAAGAAAAAAAAGCATATAACACTAAGAGAAACACCGATGAATGAATTTAAAGGTTTACAATTATAAGGGCCGCTGTTACCTATGGACTCCCGCAGATGGGTAAGGATGACTTGGAGCAGGACGAGCACCTTCAAAGGCCAAAAACGGTGAATGCAGCTTTCCTAGAGCTTCGGGTCCCCTATTATCAAAGGAAAACCATCAGTTTGTAATACAAAACCAAAACCCAAATGCTCAATGACTATTCAAGCACAGGATTTTACACAGCTCTTGACATTAATCCAGACTTGCACATGACCCTCAAACCCAAAGATGCAGTATACAGATTTAAAAAGTTGCCATGAGCTGTTTTTACAGAATTTGATTCAACAAGCATCCTAGAATACAAATTTGATCATAACAGTACATTCTTTTTCTTTACTCTTCTATTCATACATTCCTTTAAAACCTAGCACATAGTTGGGCACAAAACTCTGAGCCTTTAGCCAAACTTCTGTAGTATGCTTAAACTCAGAAAAGGCAAATTTAATATCTGAAATTCTAAAAGGGATTGAGAAAATACAAAATCCAAAAAGATTGATACTTTGCATTCTTTTCTAGTATCCAACACAAACCCATGTCAGCAAAAATCATGAAAGATCGAGAGAGCGAACCTGGGAGGTGATCGAAGTGGTGCAGACGCGGAAAAAAGAGGGGTGGTCGGTGGAGAAGGTGAAGGAGGTCGACCACTAAAATTTCCGAAAGATGGTTGTGCTTTCGGCGGTTCAGTTGGCCCTGACGCCTTCCCAAACCCCGAGTACATTGGTGTTTCAGAGTGTCTTCTTGATAATTTTTTGCTCTTTCTTTTGTTGTTTCAAAATTTTCAATTCGCAAAAAAAGAAAGCCAGAAGATTTTTGAGCTTTGGAGCACGAAACGCAAAGAAACGCCGTCGTCTTATATTCAAGCCCAACTCAAAACCATCTGTGAGTATTGGGCCTCCAATTATACAGGCCTACATCACATCACATCACATGGATAAATCCTTATCCTGTTTGAAGCGAAAAAGCCCACGTGGTTGATTTTCCGTCCATATTCATTTTCCCGGAAATCTATATCAGAGCTTTCCCAGAAAACCCATCTCAATCATTGAGTGCGGACAGTGGGCAATGGCTGCACCGGGGTCAGTTCAGAAATCCGAGGAAGAATGGCGCGCTGTTCTCTCCCCTGAACAGTTTAGGATTCTACGCGAGAAGGGGACAGAGTAATTCCTACTCTTTCTTTTTTCCTTCCTTAAAAAGATTTTTTTTCATCATATATGCTATGATTTATTTAGTTATGTCTCACATGATTTGTGGCCTTTCATGGGTTTGAGCTCTTTTTGGCTTTTGTGATTAGTCTGATTGCTTACAGAGATTTTGTGAACCTTTCATTAATTTTGAGAGAGTAAAGTTTTTGTCTTTGCATTTTTGTACTCACTGCACAAATATATCCCATTTGACTTTTATTTTCCTTTCTTTTGTTGAAATAGAATTTTATTTCCTTGTTTTAATTCTTAGCATATGTAATGCAAAGATTGTAGCAGAGTTCCAAAGTCTGATAGTTTGTTACCTACACAACCATAGCATCAGTGATCAATTGGCAGAAGGCTTTATGGGATGGGTTTCAGTGTTTTACCTATCCCAGTGAACAATTGCTATCTAGTTCCTTAACCAGAATTTGGGGACAAGCAGTTGCACAAGCAAAAGATACATACAAATGAATAGGTTAAATGAGACTTGCTTATCATTGGAGTTTGATGACATACAGGCCAAAATTCACTGGGGAATATGACAAGGTTTTTGAAGAAGGGGTTTACAATTGTGCTGGTTGTGGAACACCACTCTATAAGTCAACTACCAAGTTCGACTCTGGATGCGGTTGGCCTGCATTCTATGAGGGTCTGCCTGGAGCCATAAACCGCTCTGTAAGCCTCTAACTTTCTGTTGCTAATAATAATGTATAAGTTGTTTGTTAAAGTTATTGTCCTATGCATTTTGCTGAAATTTTATTAAACTGAAGCAACTCTGTGTTTCAGCCTGACCCTGATGGGAGGAGAACTGAGATCACATGTGCAGCTTGTGGTGGTCACTTGGGCCATGTTTTTAAAGGGGAGGGGCACAAGGTGCCGACCGATGAACGCCATTGTGTCAACAGCGTTTCGGTCAAGCTTGTTCCAGGGAAGTCTACACTCTGAAGTCCTCTGATCAAGTTTGTTTTGTACACTTAAAACCTTAGTGTGGTTCTTGCCTTGCTTGAAGACCAAGATTGATAATCTGATATGCAGTGATTGTCAGTAAGTCGAGGGAGAGCGATGAATGATGTGTTATAATTTTACTAAAATGGCAATAAAACCTCTTTGTGTTTAGCCCCCTTTTTGTTTAGCAAATTTAGGTTTTAACCACAAAAAAACTTTCACTTTTGGAAAAAGCCAAAACTTTTTCAAAAAAGACAAAAAAACCTCTCAACTTTCAAATCAAAGACATGCAAATGTAAATAATTTCTTAGGAAATCCAAAAATAAATAAGTGCAATTTTGTCCGTTTTAGCTTCTTTTCAAAAATTTCTCTCTCCTTTGGGTTTTTTCAAAGTCTCCTTTTCACTTTACTACCCGGAAGTTTTCGAAATTCAGACTTGGCTACAAGAATTTTTTTTCATCTTGATTTTACTATCACTTTCGTACCTCCATTAGTTTGACTGTTAAATATTCCATTAAATGATAACGTGACATTCATAGCTTCATGTTGACCACTGAATTTGCACCACGTACACCAATAAACAATAAAAAATTTGTATTATTTTATAAACAATTAAAATTAATAAAGTTAAAATTTTAAAATCAAATGTATAAAAAATAAAATTAGAAAAAGTAACACAAAAAAACTAAACCAACCTGCTCTCATCCTTTAATTAGAGATCATTAACCCATTGTTGATTATTGGGAGGTTGGTGCTTAGCCAAGCTATATGAATATGAAAGAGTCAAACCAAGTCTCCATCACGAAACTGAAAAAAAAAAATACAAGGACCGAAGTGAAAACTTGAGTAAATTTCAAGGATGATTACTGCAAATTGAGCTCTCTTTTAACATTGAAAAAAGCAACAAAAAAAAAACATTAAAAAAAACATTGAGCAGAGCAATAGTACATGGCTGGCTCAGAAAGTCCATGAAGTGTACAAGACTACATCATCAGTCCAAGAGGTGATTGAGCCCACCAAAGGAAGAAAGATACCAGCCCAAAAACACAAGCTCTCCTCCACCCTTCGGCTTTGATTCTGGAATTTCCTGAAAAACACGAAATTCGCGGACGTTTCCCTCTCATTTCCAAGGCAAATCAAAAGCCCTTCTATGATGCCGAGAGAAAAGAAAGGGAAAAACCCTATGAACTCAAAGAAGAGAGTAGCACAAACACCACCCATCAGCAGCAAACATCAAGAACAATGGCAAGCCAATGGTCCTTGCAAATTTCTACAACTTCAGCGGGCTTTGGTCATGGACATTCTCTCAAGGCTCACCATCAACACCCTCTTCAACTGCAGGTGCGTTTGCAAAGCCTGGCTTTCGCTAATTTCTGACCCTCAATTTGCCCATCTCTGCATTTCAAGATCACCCATTGGCATATTGATCAAGACCTTTCCCCCTAAAAGCATAACTAGGAGACTTGACTTTGCCCAGATAGAGGAATCTGCTGATTCTCGCTGGCGGCTCGAGAAAATGAGGTTTACCCCCAAAACTAGCCTACCCATTTCTGAATTTAATCTAATGAACTCGTGCAATGGTTTAATTTGTTTGTCTGGACCCGAAAGAGGTGACCTTTTGTATGTGTGCAATCCAGTTTTGGGTGAGTTTATCACCATTGAACGCTCTGGTAAGGGTAGGCCATCTTTCAATTGTGTTGGACTTGGTTTTAGCGTCGGAACCGGTGAGTATAAGGTGTTGCAAACTTTTCTTCCGTCGAGTGAACCGGTCACAAATTACAACTATGAGGCAGAGATATACACCATTGGTACAGGATTTTGGAGAAGCATTGGAAAGGCTTCTTGGAGCCTTGGTCCTCAGTTACCCTTCAATGCTTATCTTCATGGAGCTCTTCATTGGATTTCCTGTTTTGGGGATGTTCCTGAGCTTATAAATTCTTTCAACTTTGAAACAGAAGAATTTCAGGCAATGCCCCCACCTAGCTACTTTGGACCACTACAGAAGCAATTTTCAGACTGTTTGAAGTTGGGAGTGTGGGAAGGTTGCCTCGTTTTGTGTGTGTTTGGGGATGATTCTAGCAAATTTGTCATGTGGGTTATGAAGGATTATGGTGTCCAAGAGTCTTGGACTAAAACTTTTGTTATTGAAAACTTGTATCCAAGAGAACTTAGCTGTGATTTGTATGAACCGATGCTGTTTTTGAGCAATGGAGAAATCGTAATGTCCTACAATGATTGGGTTGTTGTTTGCTATAATCAGAAAAGGATGAGTTTCAGGGAAACTAGAATTACTCGGACTCGATCTGAGTTTCATGCAATTGGTTACAGCCCATGCTTTGTTTCACTCTATGATATTTCGAAGGCAGAGGAGGTGAAAAGGTACTGAAATTATTCTTCAACAATATACATGCATAATTTAGTTCCATTTCTCTGTTACAACTTCTTGTTTTGCTCTCTATTTGTGGAAGTTGATGTCAATGTAGGGAACTTATGTATTGCATGTTTCAAATACAGAAATCTATGGTATCTTAAATTCTGCCAATCTCCCATGAAATTGCGTATGAAATTTTTGATACGATATCCAATCTATATGACTGATCAGAATACTGGTGTATGCAAAATCCTTTTTTTGAATTATGTGGTTTGTTCAAATTTTCTTTTTTGGGGTTAAATTAGATGAGTTTTTTTTTCACAAAAGTCAATTGGTGACAGATTGTCTGCTTTGAGCCTTTGAATTTTGTTTGTTGGATTGTCTCCTTGATTCTAAAGTAATACTCAAAACACATATTTGAAAATCTTTATGGATTGAAAAAAAAAAAAAAAAAAAGATATTGTCAATGGTTAGGATGCTACGGTAAACAATTATTATTACTCTATAAATTTGTTCAATATATGGATATTCTGAAAGAAGGTTGTGACATCGGCCAATGAGTATATCAACTCATTTTGGAATGCTCAATATATGATATGCAGGGTGCAAGGCTCTAAGAATTGTGACAAGTTGTCTGCTGAAGGGAGTTTTGATTATGCTGGCTCTGGGATGCCACACCACAAGTCCACAAAACTTAATTCAGGCTATGCCTGGCCTGCCTTTGAAGAAGGTCTTCCTATCTCCATGAATTCCTCTGCGACGGTGAGTTGTCATAGTTCTTGTATGTATCTATTTTCTTGTGATCAATTTGTTTTATTGAATCCATCTGATGGTTGTTACCGTGTCTCTTTGCTAGACAATCTCTTTTCAGCCGGATTTTACCGCAATGGGGTTCCCATGTGCTCGATGCGGTGAGCACTTGGGCCATGTTTTCAGAGGTAAGGGGTTCCCATTGTGTCAACGATGCTCCAACGCAGGTTCCTCCTGAGAATTCTTCAGGATAGCTCCGCTTCCTTAGACTAAAATGCAAGATGTAACTTTTTTTGGTTAAAACCTTTTGTGAATGTCGACGTGCCTAGTTATATACTTATAAGTTTTTATTTTATTTTAATATAATTTAATTTTGTTGGCGGAAGGGGTTTTATGGCTTTTTTCTGTCCTATAGTTTTCTAATGATTTTACTAGTGTTAAAGCTAACCCATAATCTTGACTAGTGTTAATCTTTTGTTTAATATGAAATGCGATGAATATACCACCGTCTTTAGCTATATGCGATGCCGTATTACAATACCATACAATAATTTCTCCCCATAAAGACTCTTTAGCTGCAAGTGCGTTTGCAAGGCCTCGCTCTCTATAATTTCTGACCCTCAATTTGCTGAGCCCAACTCTGCAAGATCACCCATTGGGATCTTGATCAAGACCTTTTTTTTTGGGGGGAAAATACGATCTTGATCAAGACCATGCCCCGCAGACCTTTAGGGTGATATATAAATGTGACGCAACTTTTGTTAAACAAGTTGTTGCTGGCCTACTTTTAAAGAGGGTCATATGTACAGTTCAAATTGTAAAAATAGTGTCCAATCAAAATAATTTTGTTAAGTTTACTTTTGAGAATTATTAAACTAGGAAACGATTTTTCTTTTTTTAGTGCTTCTACATGTTAGTTTGATTGTTTGAGTTGCCCATGCAATTCAGCAACTTCAGCCTTTAAGGATGCGTCTAGAGCAGTCAATCAAGCACACTCTTGGTTCCTTGTTAGCAGATGCAATCCTACATTTGCTACCGATGTAGTATGGTGAGCATTAAAAAAATTAGTCTCTTCCACTGCAGTCTTATTAGACCTCCTTGCCATTATCAAGTTCGCATATGGTGTAAGCATGTTCATAGTTGCTGAGATTTAATTGTGCATATTTGTAGCTTGCATAGAAGTAAAATCGATGTGAAAATTGGAGTGTGGAAAGACAACATTTTCATGTGTTGTTTTCTGATTTGAAGAAGGATCAAAGGATAAATTCAAATCTGTTGAGGTTTCAAGAATCGAAGAGAACTCCATTTTTGATTGATTTTTGCTTATGTTTTCTCTCTAGTTTGCTTTTGTTTTTAGATTGAAGGACGTCCTGGTTTAAATGATAAGGAAAGCATCAGACAGCGTCCTTGAATAACGAAAGCATGTTGGGATCTTATCCCTTGTTCCCAACACCCATATTTTCTAGCTTTTCACCTCAAGTTACACACCTATATTTTCTGGCTTTCCACCTAGACCCACTTAATTATAAAAAAGAAAGAAAAAAGAAAAATATAACAATATCAATTAAAAAAATATTTATTAAAAAAAAAAAAACAATATCAATTAACAACAACAAAAATATAACAAGGTCGGGTGGAAGAAGGGGGAGATGCCAGAACAATGTCGGGTTTAATTTTTTTTTCAAAAGCCCGGATCAAAACGACGTCGTTTTGATGCCAGGTCATTAAAAAAAATTTGAAATGGCTTGGACCAAAACGATTTTAAAAAGTATTGGGCGCGCTCTGTGCAAAGCCCAGGCTTCGCTGTTGTATTTCGTCGAGCACCTTGTGTGCATCTTAGGGTCAACTCGCCGTTTTTCATGAGGTCTGCTCAGACCTCCATAGGCTGTCCACAGCCATAACTCGGTCATTTCATGGGGTCGTGTGACCCCATTTGTCCCTTAATCCGTCCGCCACTGGATCTGATAATACTGCCCGTAAAACCTCTGACAATCATTGCCTGTAAAGCCAAAGTGTTGGTAAAACATTAAAAACTGAAAGTTCATACAAACAAAAATAAAAGTTGAGAAGACAGTGTTCATATAGACAAATGTTAATTAAAATCAATTCATCCCTCATCAACCTAAGCTGATAATTATACTAAAGCTTTAGAGTCTGCAGTAACTATCCTTATATATGACACAATCATTAAAACCAGAATACAAAAATTCATATATAAGAACTGCAAGCTTATGATCGAGTGTTTCCACCATTGTCAATTCTGTTGCCAGTTTATCCTACGAGATATACAATCTCCCCAATGCAGCATTACGTACCTAATCCCCCAAAGAGAGAAGCTATTTTGAAATTGGTTGAAGTTGGGAGTGTTACAAGGTTGTTTCCTTTTATGTGTGTTTGGGGATTATCATACCAAAATTGACATGTGGGTCATGAAGGATTATGGTGTCCAAGACTCTTGGACTAAAATTATTGTCCTTGAAAACTTATATCCTAGGGATAGGTATTATTTGTATGAACCACTAGTGTTTTTGAGCAATGGCAAAATCCTTATGTCGTAATGGTCAGCTGGTGATTTGTTATGATAAAGAAATAAAGAGACTCGAGAAAACTAGAGTTACTTTGCCTTGGCAGGAGTTTGTTGCAATTGCTTACAGCTCATGCCTTGTTTCACTCTGTGATGTTGCCAAAGGAGAGGAGGTGAAAAGGTAAGTTATACCATATAACAAAGTTATTAGCTGCATTATTGGCTGAGGTGTAATTTTGAAAGGCTAAAAACTTTATTAAAAGAAAAAAATGACAACCAAATATCCTTATAATTTAAACAATTCCAATGTCATTCATAAGTCATAGAAGAAAAATAGCAATTCAATTAACCTACAATTGTTGACGACAAGGTTTCATATTATGAAAATCTCATACATTAAGAACGAATTGCTTAAAGCCCACGAAATGTTTGCATTATTTAAAGAATTGTTGTTTAAAGCCCACATAAAGAATTGTTTTAAGAAAGAATCATTGTTTAAAGCCCACGAAATGCAAGCCTTGTTGAAAAGCCCAGGACTTAAAATAAAAAATAAAAAAAAAACTTTGCACGGCCGCTGCCACCTGTGCACAACAGATATAGTTTGGCTGAGTCATTCTGTCGAACACTTGGAATGCACCATCACCAACTTGAGCAGAGAGGCAATTTGAAATACTTACACTGGTTTTTTTGGGTGAGGGGAGGTGCAGCTCCCCTCCTTGCACCTTAATAGGTCCGCCGTTGAGCTGCATAATCTTATACCTTACAACTTTTTAGTTCGTGGGGGTGTAGGTAGAGCTATCAATGGATCGTATTTTGATCCGAATCCGATGTAATTAATAGGAGATAGATCTTGTGGTATAATTCGCTAATCCGATTATGTTTTGAATTTGTTAGCCCGTGAAGTTAATAGAATGAATTTGAATTTGTTATAATCCAATCTGATTTAATATAATATATATTTCATTTGATTTGATTTTATCTTACTAAATATACATGTTTTATTATCAAGGATCTTACTAAATATATAGGCACTAAACAATTAAGTTCCTATAATTTATGATTAAAAAAACAATTAAGTTATTATTGGGCCACAAAAGGGAATGGCTTGGCGTCGGAGCCCCACACAGAAATAGCCAACCAAAAGAAAGAAATAATACAAACTAGGCAGATATTGCCAAGCCAAGGGCCATTCATTCCACTAAAATTAATTTACTATTTGTCTCCCACAATTGTTTTTGGGCCCGGTTTTGTCTCCCGCACAGTTTAATTCCTTGTCCTACACCGTGTAGGGCAATTTCCTCTTTGAAAAATCCAGTGAAGTCCTCTCAGCGAGCAGCTCCCCCTGTCTCTCGTTCGCCGCCGCAGTCTCGTCATCTCCAAGTGCCATCGAAACACCACTTTTCACTCTTCTAGTCTCCAGAAAACTCTTGTTCTCTTTTGACTCATATATGTTGTCTATAAAACCCTAACCCATTCACATTTCATCAGATCTCCAAATTCTGCAATTTTTAGCAATTGCAAGTTTGCAACTTCAAATCCAATCCAATCTTTCTTGGATCATCCCAAGCCAACCCATCTCTATATTAAAGTATTTCTCCTCTTAATTTGAAGTCAAATTTAACAACAAACCTTTTCTATTTGCATCTCTCTACCAAAATCTGTGCTTCTTTTCTGGCCAGACTGGCAAAATTAGTCCAAGGAGAAGAAGAGCGATCAGCAAGAAAGAGCAATCAGTAGAATGGCAACCCAACGGTTCCTGCAACTTCCACAGGCTATAACCATGGACATCCTCTCAAGGCTCTCTGTCAAGACCCTTTTCAACTGCAGGTGCGTGTGCAAAGCGTGGCTTTCTATAATCTCTGACCCTCAGTTTACTCATCTCCACGCTTCAAGATCACCCTTTGGCATCTTGATCGAGACCTTCCCCCCTCCCCATCTAACAAAACCAATGGAACTTTATTTTACCCTTCTGGAAGTAGAAGCATGTGCTGCTCCTGGTTCAGATTTGCAGCTCGAGGAAATAACGTTTTCTCCCGGAAATACTCTACCACCAGTTGACGCCGCCATGCCCGAATTTCGCTTGATAAACTCATGTAATGGTCTGCTTTGTTTTGGAGCTAATGAAGGCTTTCCCCTGTATGTGTGCAACCCTGTTTTGGGCGAGTACATCACCATTCCAACTGCTAATAGAAACGACAAGTGGCTTATTGTTGGACTTGGTTTTAGCATCAGGACCAATGTGTACAAGGTGTTTCAGTTGAACAACCCGGACACTGAGGCTAAGATTTACACCATTGGCGCAGGAGGGGCATGGAGAAGCATTGGACCTCCTCCTCCTGGGGATTTTAATAACTTATCGTTCAATAATTTTCTTCATGGAGCTGTTCATTGGATTCCCTATGGTGGCAGAAGTACAAGTTCCAAGGTTATACAATCTTTCGACTTTGAAAGAGAACAATTTCGGCCATTATCACTACCTAGTTTGCTAGCACAGAATGAATTTCTGTATAGTTTGACATTGGAAGTGATAGAAGGTTGTCTCCATCTATGTGTGCTCGAGGATGATGCTAGCAAACTGGACATGTGGGTTATGAAGGAGTATGGTGTCCAAGAGTCTTGGACTAAAATTCTTACTTTCGAAAACCTGTTTGGTCTTTGGACGGAACGAATCTGTGATAGGTATAATCCAATTATGTTTTTGAGCAATGGGGAAATCCTGATGTTCTACAACTTTGAGCGTGTAGTTTGTTATAATCAAGAACAAAAGAGCTTCAGAAAAATAAAGATTCCTTCGACTAAAAAGTGGTCATTTCAGCCAATTGCTTACAGTCCATCCTTTCTTTCGCTATACGATGTTGCAAAAGGAGAGGACGTGAAGAGGTACTAAAATTATATTTCTAAACTATGGTTGCATAAACTTAGCTACATTATATTTCTGCCACAACTTTGCTTTCTTCCTTTTTATTTTTGTAAGTTGATGCTTTAAAGCAAATGTGACCAATATGTTGCATTTTGTAGAAATGCAAAAATTGTGTCCCAAAGGTACCTGCAACTTCCACAGGCTATAGTCATGGACATCCTCTCAAGGCTCTCTGTCAAGACCCTCTTCAACTGCAGGTGCGTGTGCAAAGCGTGGCTTTCTATGATCTCTGACCCTCAGTTTACTCATCTCCATGCTTCAAGATCACCCTTTGGCATCTTGATCGAGACCTTCCCCCCTCCCCCTCTAACAAAACCAATGGAACTTTATTTTACCCTTCTGGAAGTAGAAGCATGTGCTGCTCCTGGTTCAGATTTGCAGCTCGAGGAAATAACGTTTTCTCCCAGAAATACTCTACCACCAGTTGGCGCCGCCATGCCCGAATTTCGCTTGATAAACTCATGTAATGGTCTACTTTGTTTTGGAGCTAATGAAGGCTTTCCCCTGTATGTGTGCAACCCTGTTTTGGGCGAGTACATCACCATTCCTCCTGCTAATAGAAACGACAAGTGGCTTATTGTTGGACTTGGTTTTAGCATCAGGACCAATGTGTACAAGGTGTTTCAGTTGAACAACCCGGACACTGAGGCTAAGATTTACACCATTGGCGCAGGAGGGGCATGGAGAAGCATTGGACCTCCTCCTCCTGGGGATTTTAATAACTTATCGTTCAATAATTTTCTTCATGGAGCTGTTCATTGGATTCCCCATGGTGGCAGAAGTACAAGTTCCAAGGTCATACAATCTTTTGACTTTGAAAGAGAACAATTTCGGCCATTATCACTACCTAGTTTGCTAGCACAGAATGAATTTCTGTATAGTTTGACATTGGAAGTGATAGGAGGTTGTCTCCATCTATGTGTGCTTGAGGATGATGCTAGCAAACTGGACATGTGGGTTATGAAGGAGTATGGTGTCCAAGAGTCTTGGACTAAAATTCTTACTTTTGAAAACCTGTTTGGTCTTTGGACGGAACGAATCTGTGATAGGTATAATCCAATTATGTTTTTGAGCAATGGGGAAATCCTGATGTTCTACAACTTTGAGCGTGTAGTTTGTTATAATCAAGAACAAAAGAGCTTCAGAAAAATAAAGATTCCTTCGACTAAAAAGTGGTCATTTCAGCCAATTGCTTACAGTCCATCCTTTCTTTCGCTATACGATGTTGCAAAGGCAGAGGACGTGAAGAGGTACTAAAATTATATTTCTAAAATTGGTTGCATAAACTTAGTTACATTAATTCTCTGCCACAACTTTGCTTTCTTCATTTTGATTTTTGCAAGTTGATGCTTTAAAGCAAATGTGACCAATATGTTGTATTTTGCAGACATGTAAAAAGTGTCTGAAGTTGCTAATCTTCTCTAATACTGCATAGAAGTTTGAAATTATGGTATACAATCTGCATGCTTCATCAGTCTTGAAGGTCGCGGCGAAATGCCACAGATCCTAAACTTAGATTGAAATTTTGGTTAACTATGTGGGTTTGGTAAACTTTCTGGGGTTGCATAAACCATGAGTTTCTTTTTCACTAAAATCAAGTGGTAACAGAGTTTTTTTTGTAAAATAATTCCTCAGATTTCATGCATAAAAATTAGCTTCATTTATCTGTTACGACTTTTTATGCAGGGTTGGCAGCAGTAAGAGATATAACAAGCTGCCTGTTTGATGAATCGAGTTATGATTGTACTGCTTTTGAAGAGGCTCTTCCTAACGCCAAAAATTCCTCTGTAAGTTTTCATAGCTTATCTATCTGTCTATTTTCTTGTGCCTGTTTGTTGGTTGTTATGCATTCATTTTCTGCTCTCTTGATTCTATCTACTGGTTGCCACTACTATCTCCATTTTCTAATTTTCTTTTTTATTTTCAGCTGGATTTGAATCGGAGGATTGGGACTGCATGATTTCTTCAGAGGAAAAAGGGGGGCTTTTTTTTGTTACTTGGCTTTAGCCATCAGGGGAAACTCTGCGTCTATAGACCAAAATGCCTTTGATAGCTTGTCTAGAACAAAGTGATTGAAACCCCTTGTTAAAACTTTTGATTCTAATTAGTGTCTAAATTTCTAGTTACAATCGTACAAGTATTTTCTAGGGTTATCATTTATTTTCCTTTTTGAAGTTGCATATCATTTGCCCTTTTGGCTATGGAAGTATTATCATTTATACCATATTTGTGTTTAGAAGGAAGTTATTAATAATTGCAAAAGGTAGTATACATACAATTGGTATAATAATTTTGGTTGGAGTATTAGTTGTAGCATATTGATGTTGCTCTTTTTTGTTGGAGTAAATTTTCATGTCTCTCATTGTTGTTTGATTTGGGTGTATTCATGGTTATGCACGGGAGTTATTTGTGTGCACATTGACTACAATGTGATATTTTTGTACTTACGTACCTATCAATCAGATAAGATAATTCAATACCTTTACCTTTTGATTAGGTACTTAAAATGAGGTTAACTTGTGATGTGCTCTGTGATATTTTTACCAGAATAGGAGGTATATTGTTAACGACTTACCTACAATTAGAGGTGGGCATCTTATCCGAAAAATTCGTGTATCAATTGTATCGAATTGACGGTTGATTTGATTTGGTTAAATTATTATTTTATATTTTAATTCTACCCTACCGATTCAAACTGAAAATTTTAGTTAAAAGAACGGGTAACAATCCTATACAGTGAAAACCCGTATTGAATTGAAAATTAAAAATAATTTATTATTTAAATACAAATATACATGGCAACACACTATTGGCTTTTAAGAATGCAATAAGGTTTAAATAGTATTGGTGGTGTTGAGGCCCAAAATGTCACAAGAAATTCAAAGATATTTCAAGTCCAATATAATATATAATGTTGGTCATGCTTTAATTTAAGCTGTATTTTGGGAATTAATTTATTAAATAAATATAAAAATAGTGTATATGTCATGCCAAGCAAATAATACATTATCCTATGCTAAACCATCGGACAAGCTTAAGTGGGCCCAAGCCACATACATACCTATCAGTCAAATAATACATTATCCTAATCCTTCATCCCTATCTTTTTTTTTTTCCAGAAACCATCACCTACCTTTTTCACATAAATCAAAAACCATTCCAAGCCCTAAAATAACCTTCATCCAAAACCATGTTTCAACTCAAGCAGACGCTCTCGCTAAACTCATGGAGACTTAAGAGCATTTCTAGCATCTAAGGCTGGGCTCGGGCCGGGTAGGGGGGGTGTGTGGTTGGTTAGGCCAACCCTCAGGGAAGATCAGCCCTAGTTCAAGCATGGGTTTGCTGGCGTCAGCAACAAAATTTTTTTAAAAAAAAATCTAAACAAAAAACAAAAAAATTCATATTTAAAAAAAAAACAAAAAATACTTAGTCATACTTTTCACTTCCCACACCAAAAATCTATATAAATTTCTTATCTCATATCTCATGTGAATAGTTGTTGCCATGGCAATTGGTGGAAACACCACAACCTTTTGCAAAGGCAGCCACTATTCACGTGAATAGTAGCTGTCCTAGCCCCTCCTTTTTTGCCATGGCAAAGGGCAAACTGCTGGAAGTGCTCTAACTCCCACGCCACAAGCCACTCAAGCCAAGTCAAAATCTCAGTTCACAATAATCATTATCTGCTAGGTGAGAAAAACCAGAGTACTCCCTAAAATTCAGCATTCTTTACAACGGCCCAAGTCCACCTAGAGCTACTGGAACAAAAACACCATCACAAGTGGCTTTTCGTGAAAAATGTAGATTTTGTTGCTTTGGATGTTGACAAACTTCACAAATACTGATGTGTTAGAAATGATATGAGTACTTAGTTTATTGGTATTTGAATTCTTAGTATTTCTCTTTGATAGTTGCAATTAGTTCATGTGTGAAATTCTTGCTAATTCTATGATTTCATTTTCAGTCATCTAATTATATGTAGTAGGGATTATTAGTATTTCTTTTTTGTTAAACGACATTACCGACATACCAAATCGAACTTTGGTTTCGTTAACGAAAAAGCTCTCTACCATTCCAAACCGATCCATGCTCAGGCCTGCCTACAAATGAGACATGTTGATTGTTTGTACCTTTTCCTTAGGTGCCTAGATCTTTTCCTTGGTTTCTACCTACATAGTAGGTTTATTTAAACATGTTATATGTTGATTGTTTTTATCAAATTATTTTGGATCGATGAAGGTATTTAATGGTGACAATGCAACATTCAAAATTCGTTATTAAAGCAAAAGATGCATTAAATCAAGGAATTTTAATTAGCTTCTTTTATTTACCTTCAAGGGTAAAATAGTCATAAAAATATATAATCAATGCCAATTGGGCCTCGATTTAATATCTATAACACAAGGGTTTTTTTCAACATTTTTTTTACATGAAATGGGTCTATATTAAAAGACCCTTATCAGAAAATTACCTATAACATTCAACAAAAACGAAATTGTCCCCAACTTAACTACGTACGAGTTCAGTAGGTGTGAGGTTTTTATTGCAAAAGGTCTTAATACTATTAGGAGTGTAACCACTCATTACATGTTGTATTGTATTGCTAAATAAAATAAAATACTACATATAATGAATAGTTACACTCCTAATAGCACTGAGGCCTTAGTTTTAGTTGCAAGAATGGTGGGTTTGGATTTAGTGTTAGTTTTTTTTCTTATGGGTTTGGATGATTTATTTATAGAGTGGAGACTGGGATTGATATGAAAAATATTATGGTTTAGGGTTTTTGTCGTGACGTGGAAAGTCTTCCCCTTTTTTGGAAAGTCTTCTATTTTTCCAGAAATCACGTTCCATGTTTACATTGGTGCACCATGTTTCCAGTTAATCCCACTCCAGGTTTTACTCAGTGCATCGTCCTTTTTCATCTCCCAAGATGGTGGCCACGTGAGGACACATGAAGGCGTTATGACCGGACTCGCTCTGAATTCCTCGGAACCCCGGACGAATCCTGTGGTATTTCCGACAACATACTGATGTCGGGCCCACATACTAAAGAAACGAGACTTTCTACAGAAAATTTCGACATAGTCTCCCCTGAAAAATGGACATTTCCCAAATTTCTCAACCTATTAAAAGCACATTTATCCGTCTCAACAGGCAACATGCATAAGATAAAAACATATAGTTAACAAAAATGGCCTCCGGCCTTACAAATTTCCCTAACATGGGCAATATTAGAGCAATCTAGAGAATTCAGTTTACAACCGAGCAATAAAGTGTAACGGAAATGAAAACGAATAAAAAGTGTGCTACGGAAGCTCGGGACTCAGAAGGAAGGTCTCAACTCGGTTGCTCGATTCAAATCTAGCTACTGCCCTTGGGGGCACAAAACAGAAAAGTGTGAGTGGACAAAAACAAAGTTTCCGTTAGTTGAAAACAACGTATGGTAACCCCACCATTTAGAAAATGATGCTGAAAACCATATGCATTCAAACCATCAAAGATATATACATATATATAGCCACAACAAAACCATGGTGAAATCCAATTCTCGTAAAGGTATTCAAATACCCATCTCATACAAAACCATTTCCCCAAACTACTCTCGAAATGCATGCCCTTTGGCACGACGAGTGATGAAGTATCTTCATCGATAAACAAGAAGGAATGTGTATATATATATATATAAGTATGACCACTAGCAAGTTTGTAAAAGGGAAACAATCCAACCGTGAGATTGTTTGACTAGTCCACATGGAAGCATCCTCAATTGACTATGTGGCTGGGGAATGAGTCATCCAACTGAGGGACTGACTCTACTAGCACGCACAGTAGAATCCTCAATACTCATACAACTATGACAAGTCCTATGAGTGCAGACTATCCCGCTAAGGGTCTACGAAACACCCCGTCAAGGGTTCCCGGGTTCCATCATATCCAAGTATCACCACATTTCCAAGTATCCAATTCCAGTATTCTAAATCCAAGGAGGTACATACGGTAGTGCTTATAGGACTTCAAATTGACATGAACTATAATCCACTATCTTTCAATAATCTCATGACCAACACCCCACGTAACCCACACGTAACCAAACATAGATAGAAATTCTCAAAAATAATATATATCAACTCAAGATACTTGCAATATGCCAAAACCCAAATATATTTCAAATATTAATAAAAATATATTGTTTCAACAATTGATTATATAATAAATTCAATAAACCATTAAAACAATATGCATAGTTTTTCCATAATAAAATAATGCTTATTATTTGAAAACAAAGTCCACTCACAAGTAGTCTCACGCCTGCTAAGTACGAGCAGCCGGAGTACCTATTAAACAATATGAGGGGGCACAATTAACATAAAGTACTTCGAATGAGAACTTTAAATAAGATCCTAGTTTCCTGGAATTTAGGTGTGTACGACAAACGAGACGTTCCTAAGGTCTAATTACGTGTTTCGGATGATGGGATAGCCTTGGAAAACGCTTGGTCAACCGAGTAGTCAAACTTTCCAAACGTGGTCAACTCGGCCCGCGAGGCCCACTACCTCCGATTTCCGATCCGAAATTTCCAAAGTGTTCAACAAAGTTTACTATGCATGTCCTGCAAGTTTGGTTCGAATCGAACGGTTGGATTGTTCGCGATCGCACGATCGGACGGTTATCGTTTAACGTAAACTTTAAGTTATTGAATCGAAGAATCTTGGAGTCCGATTCATGATCCGTGAATTCCTACATGATTCTAGAGATGTTTGGATCAACATAATTGAAAAAGAAGCTGATCCAAAGGTCCAAACATATCGAACCCGGATAATGCCTAAAATGTGATATCCGATCGACAGACAAATGATAACCAAATTCATATATGAACATACGGTTGTGCTCAAGACAACATGGGGATCATTTAAGAACCCAAAGACCAGCCGCAAGGTGGCCTACATGCCGCCACACTCACCGGCAGCGCGTGAGTGCTTAAAGCGATTCCGACGATCGGAAAATCTCCAAACCGCCGGTCAAGACCTACACCTACATGATCAGAACAATGAATGGAACAACTTTTGTCTTGGACCGTGGCCAAAAAGTGGCCGGAGATGACCGGAATCACGAGCCGAAATCAGCTAAAACTTTAAGTGATAAATTGAAATCCAAAATGTAGAAATTGATCATAATTAACCCAACCATCAGCTAGAACACATCGGGAGGATGAAAAAGCATACCTAGATCGAAGAAATTGGTGGCCGGAATTGCCTGAACGAACTTGCACTTATTGGTTGTTTTATGTAGGGAATCAAATTGAACTAATCTTTCATCAATCCTTGTGGGATCAACCTCGCACTTACATATGATATACTACCTAATGGCTCGTGCACTTGCGAATATCACAAGTTGATGATGCAGCGGAATCAATTTTGGTGCAGCTGAATTCGACAACAATAATGAGAGGTACTCCTTCCATGCATAACCGTTTGCCAAACGGTATGAAGTGTGAAATGATTCCCCTTTCGTGCATAGTAGGTGAGGCTGTCAACTTTGCCATAGTCTTGCCTACTGATTAATATGGGAGGTTATCACCTTAGTTAGATGCATGCTTACCAATTGATAGGTGAGGTTGTCACTTTAGCTAGATGTAGGCTTACCGATCGGTAGGTAGGGTAGTCACCTTAGCCAGAGGTATGCTTACAGATCCATAGGTGAGCGTTCTAATGTGATTACCGATTGAATGTGCAAAGTTGTAGTTGCACGAAGCCCGTATGTTGTTGCTTCGACTTTCGTGCAAGTGTGGCATTGTTAGTTGCAAACTTATGTCACGCGTCTTGCATAGTTGGTGCACATGACGATGTAATAATTGCACTTATTGGTGAAATATCCATTGAGTTTGCTTAGCCATAGTATAAGAAGGGATTTGCTAGCATTTGAGAAAAGATTTACCGTTTGAGAGAAAATTTGAGAGGTTTTGTAGGTGATTTTCAGCGGCGGTTTTTCTTGAGCGAGGTGATTTCTGGTATATGGAGCTTGCAGTGGTATGATTTCTGGCGAAAGCATATGTCGTACTTGAGCAAGGTATGCCTTGCTGATTCCTCTTTTTTTAGATCAAACTTATTCTTTTGTTTGAGTGTTGAATGTAGCACGAACTTGTATGAATCCAAGCTTGCACACATAAGGAAAAGCAACTTAGGCACCTTATCCTAGGGGTGGTGTAAGGGTATCAACAACGACGTCCTTTGTTCCATAGTTTGACGTGGACAATTTGGAAGAAAATAAGCTTATAAATGAGGAACTGATCCAATTTAAGGAATGGTATCAGATTCTTGATTCTGTAGGTCTGTGGATTCTAATGGCGAAGGAATCGTTGAGCTCCCCACCAGATGGTCACGTGACTATATTCATGGATATCTTCCTGTTGGGGCTTCTGTTACTCTTGTGCCCTTAGGGTCCAAAGATGCTGGCAAAGATAGGCTATGCACCAGCCTAATTTAATCCCAACTTCTGGATTACTTCGTTAGGAATTTATATTGCCTTTGGCCTGGCTAGAGAAGAAGAGCATGCCTATGAGCAGTTCTCCTATCTGTACAACATCTCCAAGGTCAACACTTTGGATAAGGATAAGGGTGGTTGGGTGCAAACCAATTGCCTAAGAGCGAAGCAAAGGGGCTGCTTCGTCGCTAATATGCCTTTGTCACAAAAGTTATTGAGAGAATGCCGATGTTATGCCTTTAACAATTGGAAGGTTGCCGATCCCAAAAAATCGATTGAGTGGCATATACCTACCCACTTCCAAATCGTCAATACGTAGTAGGTGTCGTTAGACAATGTATTCAATTTTTTTGTTTGCATTTGTTGATGTCAAATCTGCATGTACTTATGAGTTATTTTTATTTTTAGGGAAGCAAAAGCAACGTGCTCACTTAAAGGAGGACGAAGTCCTTTGTGAGAAAGTGAGGATTCTGATTCCAATCGTCGATTGAGAATAGATGATTTTTCTTTCAATGTCGAATCTAATTTGGTCAAGCTCATTAGTGACAGTAAGTTATACCCTACCGTTGGGCAGTTGCTTGTATATATATGCCAAATGTAGTGACCCTTGTATGTGTGTGTGTGTGTGCTTTTTTTTTTTGTTTTTTTGTTTTTTTTTGTTTTTTTTGCAGTGACTTTTAAAGAGGAGTTGGATAAAGAGGTTGGCACTCTTGGCCATAAGTTGCTTTGGAACGTGATGTGATACAACTTCGACCATGAGCTAAAACTTGACTTCAGGAAAGACCCTTCCCTACTTCTAGAAGGTGTGACTAAGTGATAATTCCATATGTGGAGATGAAGGAGGTTGAGGAGGATGAAGATGGTGGCAATGAGGACATCAATATTGCCGCACAATGATTTTGCCTTATGCTTTATTCCCTTCTTGTATTCTATAATTTTGACGTTTTGATTTTTGTTGAAAAATGTGCTGAACAGAATTTAAAATATATCTTTCGGTCTTTTATTTATTATGGCATACATTTAATGCATCTTGTTGTGAAGATTATTTGCATTTTACCGAATGTATGTGGACTTGGTTTTTGTATTTTTCAAAATGTGCCTTTTTGGCCTTGTATTAGATATAGGTGACGTGGGCACAATACATGTGTGAGCAGTTGCCGAAGCTAAGCGCGTTATATAATCTGAAACATAAAATGGTGATGCAGAAGGGCAAATGCCTTTACGTGAAGTAGTACTTTAAATGATCGAAGTTCCAAGAGTGACCGAGGGTCTACTCATTGGAATCGCTCAATATGTAGGTACCTGAAAATGGATGACCACTATGGAGATCAACTTAAGGGTGGCTTGCCTTCGGTTGGTGATTCCCTTCAACAAGCTTTGGAGGACCTGCAAAAGGAAAGTGCAAGGATAAGCCATTCTTTCCGCTGTGGTACCAGCTAAAGGCTTTCCAATGCTTAAGTTAGCTAAATATGAGTGAGTAAGTAATTCGGCAGAGTAAGGGGCATTTCAGTCCAATCTTACAACCCCTCCCCAACCACCTTCTCCCATCCCTCCTCCCCTTCCCAACAACCTCCTCCTCCTAACTCAACCCGATCCACACCTTATAGCCACGACCCAACCACCCCCACATCCACATTATACCCTCACTCTTCCACCTGTTGACCCAACATTATGCTCTCCTCCCTTTACAATCACATTTCTCTCTCTCTCTCTCTCTCTCTCTCTCTCTCATCAAACTCCAAACCTAATTCCATGCATTGCCCAAAATCCCTCCTCATGAACCCAAGGTAAGTGACTTTGAGACTTAAAAGCATAAGAAAATTTACAATAGGGGGATGTGGGGTGGCTGTGGAAGTAATTGGGGAGGGGCTACAATATTCGTATGAAATATCGAGAATTGTGCTTGAATTGCGTGAAATTGAAATTACAGGAACAAAATTTATCAAATTGAAACTATAGAGATGTTAGTGATAAAAATAATAAAATACAGGAATCGAAAATGTAAATTAAGAAGATAATACCCCAAATCAGAAAAGTAAAGACGAGTGTTGTACACGTAACAGATGATTTCTTCCTTCCTTAATTTTCATTTGACATTTGTCCTTTGCCCAATACATGCCAGTTTATACGTGCCATTTTAGCTCTGAATATTTTTCAAAAGAAAGCATCCGCTGGTTCTCTCAAGGCATCCTCATCAGCTAGCTCTTGAACTTTCCCAAACCTACAGAATGGCAAGAGAAACGAAAGGAAATCCTATGAATCCAAGAAAAAAAGTGGCAACCAGAGCAGCTATGAGCAGCAAAAACAAAGAGCAATCAGGAGAACAATGCCAACCCAAAGCTCCTTGCAACAAATTCCAACAACTTCCAGAGGCTTTGGTCTTGGAAATCCTCTCAAGCCTCTCCATCAAGACCCTCTTGAATTGTAGGTGCGTGTGCAAAGACTGGCTTTCTATAATTTCTGACCCTCAATTTACTAAGCTCCACTCTTCAAGATCACCCGTTGGCATCTTGATCAAGACCTACCCCCCTATAAGAAAATCAAGGAAACTTGATTTTACCCATATAGAAGATTGTGCTGGTTCTGATTTGCTGCTTGAGAAAATAAGGTTTAATCCCCAAAACAGCCTACCCATTGGGGCCATGCCTGAATTTCGTTTAATAAACTCATGTAATGGTTTGCTCTGTTTGTCTGGACCCAATAGAGATTACCCATGTTTTGTGTGCAATCCAATTTTGGGTGAGCACATCAGTATCCCTCCTACCAATCTAAGTAGAAACAAGTGCTTTTTTGTTGGGCTTGGTTTTAGCAATGGGACCAATGAGTACAAGTTGTTGCAAATGACCAATGGCATTGAGGCTGAGATATACACCATTGGTACAGGAGTGTGGAGAAGTGTTGGAAATGCTCCTGGGGATATTGATCAGTTACCCTTCAATCCTTTTCTGCACGGAGCTCTTCATTGGGTATCCTATAGTAGCACAGTTCCTGATTTTATACATTCTTTCGACTTCGAAAGAGAACAATTTCAACCACTGCCTGTGCCTAGCTTACTGGGAAATCGATTTTCAGATTGTTATATATTGGAAGTGGTAGGTGGGTGTCTCTGTTTATCTGTGTTTGATGATGATTATAGCAAATTCGACATGTGGGTTATGAAGGAGTATGGTGTGCAAGAGTCTTGGACTAAAGTTCTTGTTTTCGGAAACTTGTATGAGTGTCCAGAGGAACGAATCTGTCATGTGTATGAACCAATTATGTTTTTGAGGAATGGGGAAATCCTGCTGTTGTTCAATAATTGTGCTGTTGTTTGTTATAATCAAGAAACAAAGAGTTTCAGGGAAATAAGAATTACTTGGACTCGGTCACCATTTGAGGCAATTGCTTACAGTCCATCCTTTGTTTCCCTCTACAATGTTTCAAAAGGAGAAGAGGTGAAGAGGTACTAAAATCCTATATATTTCGAAGATATACATGCTTTAATTTACTTACATTTCTCTGCCACAGCTTTTATTTTTTGCTTTTTATTTGTGGAAGTTCATGTTTGTCCGAAAATGCAATCAAGGTATTGCATTTCAAAACTTGCAGAAACTTTTTGTTTCCTAGGCTCTTCATATAGCTCATACACATGTAACAAGTTCAATGCTTAAGATATGTTGATAGAATGATTAATAAGGCTACAGTTACTAAAAAAATACTTGTCACTTGTCAATGCTATGATCATTTGCTATTCACAAGGGAGTGAACCCCTCAGGTTTGTTACCATGATAGGTTGAGTTTGTTCAAGAATTTTGTTAACTAGGAATTTGAACAAATAACACGGATGCTTCAGTAAGTGGCTGAGACATTGGTCACTGATCAACTCATTTTAGCATGCTTACTGTGTATGATATGAAGGGTACGACGCGGTAAGAAATTGGGTAAGAGATCTGGAAAGCTGCTTTTGGAAGGGAGTTATGAGTGTGCCGGCTCTGATATGCCACCCCACAAGTCGACAAAACTCAACTCAGGCTATGGATGCCTTGCTTTTGAGGAGGGTCTTCCTTGAGCCATAAATCCTCTGTGAGTTGTCGTAGTTCTTATTATCCATCTGTTCTCTTGTGCTAGTGTGTTGCTGAATACTTTCATTTGTTTTTAGCTGGATTTAACTCGGAGGATAAGGACTGCATTCACTCTATGCGGTGGCCACTTGGGTTATGTTGTATGAGGTTAAGGTTCCCAATGTGCCAACAATGTTTCGAGTCTTTTGACGACACCGGTTCCTCATGAGAGCTTCTCGATTGCTTGTATATAGGTTTTTGTAATACCCAAGTAGCTCTCCTTTTGTTCTTCAGAATAGACAGAAAAGGCAGCATTTTTTTGTATAGCTATTATAGTAACTCTGCCCCTATAGATCAATCTGCAAGTGATGACTTGTCTAGACAAAAACCTGGTTGAAACTTCTGTAAAACTTTGTATCAATGTCCAAGTGCCTATTTTTACAACCTTATTCAGCACCGGCCCATCTCGCCAATTTCTTCTCTTTTACGGCATGTTTGTTTACTTATCTGTAATCGGATGAGAATGAATTGAATTGAAGAGGAGTTGGATTAAGGAGAGTCAAAATCCAGATTTCTATTGAAGTTGTTTATTAAACAATATGGAATCGGGGTAGGAGTGGTACTGATTCCTTATAAGTTGTTTATTGAATTACTAAATCAAATTCTTATTTTAAGAGTGGTGATTTCCCCACTCCTTTTTCTCCTATTTTATCCACTTACACTCCTTTTTTATAACTAAAAAAGGAGTGTAAGTGGATAAAATAGGAGTGGGGAAATCATTGCCCTATTTTAATTCTGATTAAGGAATAATAAAAATGACATTAATGTTTCTTGATCAATTCAACCATGACATTAATGTTTCTTGATCAATTCAACCAACACAAGAAACTTTTCAATGTGACAGTTACATTAGCGTAACACATTCATGTAGTCTTAAGTGATCTTGGCTGTTTGTTTTCGTTTCTTACGATCTATACCTGCATCAAAATGGGATTTTATCCTTCTGATTTTACAAAAGAACTGAGAGATTTTACAAATGAACTGTAGTCTCAGTTGGTAGTCATAATTGTTTTTTTAAACTCAAATCAAATCAGTCAGAAAGGGTTTTGGCTCCATTATGATTTTTATGGTAAGGATCTTAAGGAGGTTTAATTTTAGTTATTGGATTGCATATAACGTATATTTTAAAAAATTATTTAATCTACTAACATATATAATGAATGACTGAGAGTTCATTAGAACTCCTTGACTAATCCAAAACTTCTATGTTTAAGTTTGGTTAAAAATTCCTACTATTATTCAATGGATTGCATGCATGGTATATATTAAAAAATTATTTAACACACTAACAAATATAATGGATGGGCTAAGATTAGAACTCCTTAACTAATCATTAACAAAAATCCTTATTGGAGAAGTTCCCTAACGTAAAGGGTTTGGCTCCATTAAGAACTTTATGTTAAGGATTGGTTAATGACTTGTAATTTAGTCATTGAATTGCATGTACGGTATATTATTAAAAATAATAATAATAATTAACCCACTAACGTATCTAATGACTTTATGTTAAGGATTGGTCTACGACTTCTACTCTTATTTAACCTACTACCGTATCTAGTAGATAACTGAGATTAGAACTCTTAAAACGATCCTTAACTAAAATCTTTATTAGAGAAGTTCCTTGTTGTAAATACATTATGTGGATGCTCTTGTAATTACATTTAATATTGTCATGTATTAATCCAATATAATATCACTTTGGATAATATTTTAAAGTATAACTAGAAGACTGGACCAGACCAGATTCGAATTAAAATTCGGTTGGTCCATTGAGAGGTGACCCCCTAGCCCACTACAAGAGTGACAAGTGGGACAACCCAAAAACGTAAAGTACGCTCTTGCCGCCAAAAGCCCATTTCAATGCTCTTCTGGTATTTCTCCAACGATTTTGACTGCTGATGAGTCTCCCCCTGACACTCCAAGAAAAAAGAAAACAAAGAAACCCCAAAATGAATGATATGAATCCAAGCAAAAGAGCAGCAAATAGAGCAGCGACTTGCAGCAAAGACAGAGAGCGATTAGGAGAAAAATGGCAGCAACCCAGAAGTCCTTGTCCCTGCACCAACTTCCAGCAACTCCCACAGGCTATAGCCATGGAGATTCTCTTAAGGCTCTCCATGAAAACCCTCTTCAACTGCAGGTGCGTTTGCAAAGAGTGGCTTTCTCTAATTTCTGACCCTCAGTTTATTCATCTCCACCTATCAAGATCAAGAATTGGCATCTTGATCAAGAAGTATCCCCATAATCTGAAATCATGGAAACCTGAGTTAACCCATGTAGAGGAATGTGCTGAATCTGATTTGTGGGTAGACACTATGAACTTTACCGACAATGTACCCATTTCCGAATTCGGTTTGGTAAACTCATGCAATGGTTTAGTTTGTTTGTCTGGACCTCATAAATATGACCCATGTTATGTTTGTAATCCAATTTTGGGTGAATTCATCATCATTCCACCTACCCAGAAAGGTAGGGGCTGGTGCAGTTTTGTTGGGTTTGGTTTTAGCGTCAGGACGAATGAGTACAAGGTGTTGCAAACGAGCTTATCTGACAACTTCTGCAAGGCTGAGGCTGAGATATACACCATTGGTACAGGGCTTTGGAGAAGCATTGGAAATGCTCCTATGGACTTCCCGGAGTTACCATTCAATTCTTATCTGCGAGGAGCTCTTCATTGGGTTTCCTATGGTGGTAATATGTCTATGCTTATAAACACTTTCAACTATGGAACAGAGCAATTCCAACGACTACCCTCACCTTGCTGCTTTGGACAAAGAAAGAAGCAATCTTCAGAGTCTTTTAAGTTGGGAGTGTTAGGAGGTTGCCTCCTTTTATCTGTATTTGATGATGAATCTAGCAAAATTGGCATGTGGGTTATGAAAGATTATGGTGTCCAAGAGTCTTGGACTAAATTTCTTGTCATCGTCGAAAACTTATTTCTAAGGACACCTTTCTTGAGTTTGCATGAACCTATCATGTTTTTCAGTAATGGGGAAATCTTGATGGTGCACAACAATTGGAATGTTGTTTGTTATAATAAAGAAAAAAAGAGTTTCAGGGAAATCAGAATTACTGGGACTCAGTCGTTATTCTCATTCGATGCAATTGCTTACAGTCCATCCTTTGTTTCACTCTACGATGCTTCAAGAGGAGAGGAGGTGAAGAGGTACTAAAATTTTACTTAAAAAATATACATGCACAAACATATATTTCTTTGCTACAACTTCTATTTTGATTTTATTTCTGGAAGTAGATATTTTGTAGGCAATATTGTTATAAGGATCCTGCATATGTGTAAGCTCACGAGATCTAACAAGTTCAATTCAATGCCTATTACTTACCAATACAAGGCTCCAGTTATTCAGAAAATTTGCTTGTCACTTGCTAAGACTATGATCATTATGATAGATTTTTTAGTTTGTCCAAACATTTGTTTAATTGTGCAATGATGTTTAGCCCTTTGAGCAGGGGGGTGAGGCATTGGTTACTGATTATGGCAACTCATTTGGCATGTGTACCGTATGATATGCAGGGTAAGAACCGGGAATAAATCTGACAAGCTGCTTGCTGTGGGGAGTTCTGATTGTGTTGGTTCTGGGATGCCACCCTACAAGTGCACAAAACTTAACTGAGGTTATGGCCAGCCTGTTTTCTTGTGACCATCTTCTGTTTTCTTGAATACCAAATGGTTGTTGCTGTCTCCTTTTTGCTGAACAATTTCAGCTGGATTTCACTTCGAGGTAGGGACTTGGGATATATGTGGTAGGGACTTGGGTTATGTTTTCAAACGCAAGGGGTTCTGAATGTGTCGATAATGTTACGAAACACAAGTTCATGCTGAGAATTCTTGAATTGCTTTTTAGTTTCAAGGTTGTTCTAATCCCCAAAGCAACTATCAGCCAAGTTAGAAAATGGCTTCTCTTTGTTACTTCGCCATCAGACAGTAACTCTGCTTCTATACAACATAATGCTAGTAAGATTTGTTTTGTGACCTTTTTATGAATGTCTAAAGTGCCTAGTTACAATCTCTTTTTTGGGTCCTTTGAGATTATCCTTATGGTTACAGGAAATTGTTGAAGGCTAATTTCTTTTATGGATTTAGTCAAATTGTAAATAGAAAATAAAATAAAAACCAGAGAGCAGATAGTGGCAATCGTTTTAAGCTCATCTTTCATATGATCTCAGTTTACCATGTCATTCTTCCTCCTCTATCAAGGCCTCAAAGAACCTGAATTTGAAAACAGTGATTAAAAGCACACAAGGAAGAGGAACCAAAGAAGAAATTGTGAGAAAACAAAATGCATGCACATTTGACAAGATTTCGTGTTCCAGCCGAACCCAGATGGGAAAAGACCTGTGTAACTTTTGTTTTGGGCACTTTCACTTGGGCAATCTTTCTAGAGGGAAGGGATCTAAAGCAATGTTATTTGATTGTCTCATTCAATATTATTGCTCCCATAATATTGTTATCGGATTGTCTAATTCAGTAATGCTCAAAGCGATCTACTTAAAATTAGGGGTGGGCATTGGAACCGCAAAACCGTAAAACCGAACCAAACCAATCCGGAAAAAACCGAAAAAAACCGTGTTGACCGAAAAAGTCAAAAACCGAGAAAAATCCAAACCGAACCGGTTCAGGCCGGTTCCGGTTCCGATTTTCCACCCTTAGGAACCGGTCCAATCCGAACCGGTCCAATAAAATTAATATATATATATTTTTATATTATATTTGAAATTATATAAATATTTTTATACTTGGCTAAGTTTGATTGGGTGTCTACGCTACTACCATAGGCGCGCATCACAGAGGAAAAAAAAAGACGCTGACTGACTTAAACGACCTAGGTTTTTTTTTGTCTTCGTTCCTCTCTTCTTCGACTTCATTTCTTCTTCGTTCGTTCCTTCATTCATACAGACAGAACAGAGCTGCCCTGAGCCTTCTTCCAAACCTTTATTTCTCTCTCAGTCTCATCCACACCTAGCACCATAGCTCCAACTACTTTTCAATGTTAGGAGGAATTTAATGAAGTTGGATTGAATTTGGGTTGTAATGTATATTTGAATTGAATTTGGGTTGTATTTGGCTAGTAATTTATTTTGGAACTTATTTTGTTGAAGTTTGATTGAATTTGGGTTGTAATTTATATGTTGAAGTTGGATTGAATTTGGATTGCATTTTTTTTGAAGTTTGATTGAATTTGGGTTGTAATTTATATGTTAAAGTTGGATTGAATTTGGAATGCATTTTTGTTAAAGTTAGATTCATTTTGATGCGTTGAAAGCTTGATAGAACCTCAAATTTGAGGTATGTTAGTATATAAATTCATTTTGGGTAGGTTTGTTTATTATTATTAAAAAAACAAAAAACAAAAAAAAAAACAAAAACCGGAACCGTTGGATTCGAACCGGAACCGGACAGGTCCGGTTTGGTTCGAATTTCTGTATGGATATTGAGCAGAACCGGTCCAAACCGAACCGGATTGCACTATTGGATCAGGTTCCATTTTTCTCCAAGAATCGGTCCAAACCGAACCGTGCCCACCCCTACTTAAAATCATCATTAATTTTAGACTTAATTAATCTAGTGTAACTCGAATGATGTCTCAATCCCACTGTGTCGTCCAAAAGTTACTTTGACTCAACTTGTTCTCTAAATTTGCCAATGGAGTTTAGCCGAGTGAAAAATAGCCTTAACTTGAAAATCAGTTATCTCATATTCGGATTTCCATGACATTTGGTGTGTGTGAGAAAACCTCCATTTTCCTTCCTAACTTTCACAACCCAAAAAAAAAAAAAAAAACCTTGATCCCAAAATTCACTTTTCGCATCTTACTGTCATGTGGCATGCCACGTAGGAGCCACATGTATACAAAATTAATAAAAATTTGTTATTTAACAAATTTACTTTAATTATAAAAATAATATTTTCGAATGAATTAAGGCAAAAGTTTCCCGCCAAAACCTCTTCCACTAGCAACTGTGGTTCCATCCTCCCTATAAAAGCAGCAAGAAACACAAACGCTCTTTTCAGCTCGCCGGTATTCCTTCCTTCGGAAATTTAAACCCCGTCCCGGTCCCCGTCTATAGGCTGAGGAGAAACTATGGAAACCCGCAAAATGAAACAGAGGAAGATGGTAGCAAATCTAAATCCCTCCAAATTCCAACAGCTTCCTCTGGCTACGGTCATGGAAATTCTCTCAAAGGCTGTCCATAAAAACCCTCTTCAACTGCAAGGCGCCTTTGCAAAGATTGGCTTTCTATAATTTGTGACCCTCAATTTGCTCATCTCCGAGCCTCAAGGTTACATCTTGGCATCTTGATCAAGAGCCATTCCTTCGTAAAAAATTCAAGGAAAATTAAATTCACCCAGATAGTAGAATTTTCTGGTTCTGATATGAGGCTCGAGAAAATGAGGTTTGCATTTGCTCCCAAAACCAGCCTACCCATTTTAGAATTTCGTATGGTAAACTCTTGTAATGGTTTACTTTGTCTGTCTGGAGAAAGTAGAGATGACCCTTTGTATGTGTGCAATCCAATTTTGGGTGAGTTCATCACCATCCCACCGAACGACAAGGCCAGGTACAGGGCCCCTCTTGATGGATTTGGTTTTAGCGTTGAGACGAATCAGTACAAGGTGTTGCAATCTTTTTATCCGATGGTCGATCCAGAGTGTCGCTCAATCGACTACCTTGAGGTTGAGATATACACCATAGGAACGGGAGTTTGGAGAAGCATTGGAAATGCTCCTAGTGACTTTCTTAAGTTTCCCTTCAGTGCTCTTCTCCATGGAGCTCTTCATTGGGTCTCCCTTGCTGTTGAAAGTGCTAAATGCATACATTCTTTCAGCTTTGAAACCGAGCAATTTCGATCACTACCCTTGCCTAGCAACTATGGAAGAGTAGAGAGAGAATTTCATGATCTTTTAAAGTTGGGAGTATTAGGAGGTTGTCTTGTTTTATGTGTGTTTGGTGGTTGTGCTTCCAGGGAACTTGACATGTGGGTTATGAAAGATTACGGTGTCCAAGAATCTTCTTGTTATTGAAGACTTGTACATGAAAGATGCGTCCTGTCACTAATTATATTTCAAAGATATACATGCAGAATATATAGTTGCATTCCTATGTTATTAGTTTAGCTTTTCCTTTTATTTGTGTAAGTTGTTGTTCTGTATTGCATTCATGCAGAAATATTTTCAATCCTGAGTTCTGCTTACCTCCCTTAATATTGCATAAGGAAGCATGGAAAATAATGGTATACAATCTCAACTTCTCATCAGGTTTGAGGATGTGGTGGTGTTGTGTGTCATGGAGCCTAAACTTAAGCCGGAATTTTATGGTTGCGTTACGGTTGGGTTTCTTTCTCACCAAAATCAAGTGGTATCAGACTTTCTTTGGTTAAATATGAATTCAGCTCGTTAGTATCTGTATGTGAGTGTGTCTTGCGGCAATGCTGAGCGTTATAGAGCCTTCTTGTTTCGTTTATTGAATTATCTCCTTCATGCTATATTGATAATCAAAACACATCTTGAATAATTTTGAGGAAGCAGAGAATTACAGAGCCGTTTTGTTTCGTTTAGGTTAGCATGTCATCATCAAACCGTGTTATCAAGCTCCTTCATATGAACCTACACAAGACCTAACAAGTTCAACGCCTATTATTTACTGCTACAAGGATCAGGAAATTTTCTTGTCAGTGGCTAACACTATGATCAATGGCCTATGGACTTAGGAGTGAACCCCTCAGAGCTGTCACTCTGATAGATTTTGAGTCATTAAGGACACCACCATACACCTCCATGCGCTAGCAAATAGGAAACGGACCCGCGGAAGGGCAATGCGATTACAAGGTTCTATTGAGGGTATTCTGATAAGGGTGTTCATCGATTCTGGGGCAGACCGTAATTTTCTTAACCCCAAAATCGCCACACAACTGAAGGGAACCATTGATGCTAAGAAGACAGAAAAAATAGTGGTTGCCACGTGTCAGTCTTATAGCACAAAAGGTATGGTTTATGCTGTGCAAGTAAAACTCCAGGCCTATGAATTCCAAGGTGATTTTTGCCTCCTCTCTGTCTCTAGATGTGATTTAGTTTTGGGGGTTGAATGGTTAGAGACATTGGGACTCATTGGCTGGCATTTCAGAGATAAAATCATGGAATTTACAGCGGGTGGCAACAATTATCGTTTGCTAGGCAACAAGGGTAAAGAGAGCTATGCCAGCCCACCAAAATCTGTAATATTAGCTGTGAGCAATTTCTACATGCCCTAGCAACCGGGATCATGTGTACCACTCCACTGAGTGTTCAAGGCTTATTAAAGCAATTTTTTGATTTGTTTGAGGAATCTCTGGGGTTGCCACCCTCTAGCGCCATTGATCACCGTATTCCATTGCTACCAGGTATTGGACCTATTAATGTCAGGCCATATCGATACCCACATTGGCAAAAAGCTGAAATTGAGTCTCAAGTGAATGCTATGCTGCAAACTGAGATAATTAGGAGAAGTGAGAGTCCTTTCTCCTCCTTGTTACTACTGGTCATCAAGAAATAAGGGACTTGGAGGTTCTGTGTTGATTATCGCGCTCTAAATCATGTGACAGTCAAGGATAAATTTCCAATACCAGTCATTGACGAAATGCCAGACGAATTAAATGGTGCAGCTTGGTTCTCCAAACTAGATTTGAGTACCATCAAATTCGTATGTGGGACGCTGACATCCCGAAGACGACATTTAGGACACACAAAGGGTGCTACGAATTCCTGGTGATGCCATTCGGCTTATCCAATGCTCCATCCACATTTTAGGCACTCATGAACGACATCTTCCACCTTTATCTGCGTAAGTTTGTCCTTGTGTTTTTTGACGATATATTGGTATATAGTCAAACTTTGAAGAAACATGTCCATCACTTAACCACTGTGTTTGAGGTGTTAAGGGTTGCTCAGCTCAAGGTGAAGGCTTCTAAATGCACATTTGCTCAGCTCACTGTCGATTATTTGGGTCACACTATATCTAAAGCAGGAGTATCAGTGGATAAAAAGAAAATTCAGTGCATTGATAATTGGCCAAGGCCTGAGACAGTAAAAGGATTGCATGGTTTTCTGGGGTTGGCGGGTTATTACCGCAAATTCGTTCATCACTTTGGTACAATTTCCAAGCCCCTAACAGATCTTTTGCGCAAAGACAACTTCCATTGGAACCCAGCGGTAGAGTCTGCCTTCCAGACCCTCAAAACTGCCTTGACAACCACCCCTATCCTTCGTCTCCCAAACAATTTATCGTGGAATCTGATGCCTCGAACAATGGGGTTGGTGCCATTTTGTCCCAAGAGCAGCGACCGATAGCATATCTTAGCAAATCTTTTTCCGAAAAGCATCGCTCTTTATCAGTTTATGACAAGGAGATGCTGGCAGTGGAACAATGGCGACCATACTTGTTGGGTTGGCAATTTAAAATTGTCACAGATCACCAAACCATCAAGCACTTCTTGGAACAACGCATATCCACCCCCATTCAAGAAAAATGGCTGCTCCTATGAAATCGAATATCGTGCTAGGTGCAAAAATGTTGGCCCTGATGCTTTGTCCAGGGAGTCAGAATTATTGGCTATTATGGGTTTATCTACTCCTATTTTTGATTGCATCCCACATATTCAACAAGATTATACTTTCGACAATGAAGCTCAGCAACTTATTAGCCTCCTCCAAGCTGATCCTACTGCCAAACCCCATTATTCATGGCAGAATAATTGCCTCTATTACAAAGAGCGCATCTTTGTCCCTGCTTCTTCTAAATGGCGTACCATGATCTTGGAGGAATTTCACTCCACTCCAATGAGGGGACACTCGGGGACAACTACGCACATACAAGCGCATACTCCATAATTTTCGTTGGCCGGGGTTGAGGAAAGATATGCAAGCATTTGTGGCAGCTTGCGACACTTGCCAACGCCAAAATTATGAAGCTTTACATCCACCCGGGTTGCTCCAGCCATTGCCCATGCTTGATTCCATTTGGCAAGATATTGCCATGGATTTCGTTGAGGGATTACCCTCAGTCAAAAGGAAGAACGCCATCCTTGTCGTCGTTGATCGCTTGTCAAACTATGGGCATTTTATTCCCATCAAACATCCGTATACAGCTTCACAGGTTGCAGATTTGTTTATCTGTGAAGTTTAAGCTCCATGGGATGCCACAGACCATTGTGAGTGACAGGGACCCAACATTTACAGGCCAATTCTAGACATCTTTCTTTGCACGCCAGGGCACTAAACTCTGCCATAGTTTTGCATACCACCCACAATGAAGTTCTCAATCGCACTTTGGAACACTACCTTCGTTGTTTTGTGGGGGACAAACCCACGTCCTGGGTTTCTTGGTTACCATGGGCCGAATGGTGGTATAACACCACCTATCACTCCGCCATCAAGATGACTCCATATCAAGCAGTTTATGGCCAACCCTCTCCCTCGGTAGAATTTTATACTCCAGGTTCAACTGTTGTACAAGCTGTTGATCTTGCCTTGCGTGAACATGACTCCTTATTGCAACGACTCCGACAGAATATGCAAGCTGCTTAGGAGCGCATGACATTTTTTGCAAATCACAAACGTTCTGAACGCCATTTTGCTGTGGGTGATTGGGTTTTCTTGAAAACCATGGGTAGTACTAACTGCCCCAAACTGTCTCCACGGTTTTATGGTCCATACCAAATCCTTGCTAAGATTGGAGCAGTGGCCTACAAGCTTGCCTTACCACCTGGCTCAAAAATTCATAGTGTCTTTCATGTCTCACTGCTCAAGAAGAAAATTGGTTCTCACCTCACTTCATCCCTAACACTTCCTCCCTTGCGCCCTGATAGCTCTGTGCAATGGACCCCAGCCAAAATTCTAAATCGCAGGCTTTTCAAATGCCATAACCAGCCTGTTGTTCGTTGGCTGATTCAGTGGTCTGGTTTACCTGAGGAGGATGCCACTTGCGAGGCCGGCCTTGGGTCCAAAAAGAGGGGCAATGCCCCGCCTCCGTTTCACGGAATAAGTAAAATAACGTTAAAAGTAGTGGTATTTCAATTTCGCCGAAGCTCCCACTTATACTACACCTCTCAAGTCATTTCACAAAGTCGGACTAGAGTCAAGCTCAACAGGGTCTTCTTTCCCCGCTGATTCTGCCAAGCCCGTTCCCTTGGCTGTGGTTTCGCTGGATAGTAGACAGGGACAGTGGGAATCTCGTTAATCCATTCATGCGCGTCACTAATTAGATGACGAGGCATTTGGCTACCTTAAGAGAGTCATAGTTACTCCCACCGTTTACCCGCGCTTGGTTGAATTTCTTCACTTTGACATTCAGACCTGAGGACAAGTCTGTTTTCATCAGGGCAGGATTGATAGGACCGTCACCCACACTACATCACCTTGCACTATCCATATCACCCTTCTATTTCATTGCATAGCTTAGTTTCTATTTCCTGAAAAACTAGGAAATGGTTATCCTTTTCTCTCGGTATGCTTGCCATATGGCATCATCCAAAATCATGTATAAAGTACCTAATAGCTGGTACAGAGGGATTATGAATGAAATATGAAGTTTCTTTAATTGCTTTATCTGTATTTCCTTTTCTGCATTCACGAACCTACCGTATATCCATCTATCTTCTTAAATCTGGCTCATGGTTATTGTTACCATCTCCTTTTGCTCAACAAGATTTCTCCTTTTCAGCTTAAATTGACTCCGACAATTGAGACTGCATGCGCTATGTGCGGTGAGCAGTTGGGTTATTTTTCAGAGGCTTAGGGTTCTCAATGTGTCAACAATGTTTCGACACAAGTTCCTGCTAGGAGTTCTTCAATTACTCGTGTGAAAAGGTTGTCAGAATGCCAAAAGCAACTCAGCTTTTCCTCATGATCAGCAAACACAGAAACCTCATCTTTTTGTTGTTTAGCCATCAGACAGTAACTCTACTTCTATAGAACAAAATGCGGATGATGACTTGTTTGTTTCGTTAAAACAAAATGCCAAGGTCGAACTGCTTTGGAAGAGGATCTAGCGCCAGAATTCCACAAGTCTACCACATTTCATATGTCTATTTATTTCTTTGTGCCCATCTTTTGGCTATCATATCATTTTCTGTTTCCTGAATCAAGCTGATGGTTATCGTTACCGTCTCCTTTTGCTCAACGATATTTTTCTTCTTCTTTTTTCGGCCGGATTATCTTTTCAGATGAAAGGAATTCTCAATATTGACGTTTCGACTTAGGTTCCTCCTGAGAATTCTGCATTACTTCTGTGTAAAGGCTGTCTAATTCCAAAGCATCTCTGCTTCTGTTTCTCAGCAAAAACAGAGAAATGCTTCTTTATAACTCTGCTTTACTCTAGAACAAAATGCATTTGATGACTTGTGGAGAGAAGAGAAACATGACTTGCGGGTTTTGGTTACAAATTTTTTTATGCAAAACAACCAAGAAATGGTCACCATTTCATTTAAAGATTCAGTCAAATAATAAAACCCAAAAATCATACATATTAGTTCATAAAAAATATAAAAAATTCATACATATTAGAAATCCTAATTGAAGCTCATCTTTGCTATGATCTCACTTTCCTCTGCCATTATTCCTCCTCTCATTGCATGCCTTCAAGGCCTGGACTTCTGATGAAATGTTGTTCACAGAAAAAAAAAAAAAAAAAAAAAAAAGAAGAAGGTAATTATTAATTAATTAAAACAACAACCCAAAATACAAGCCTGCAGGAACACCAAATGAAAAAAGAGCAAAACCCAGGAAAAAGAAAACTGAAAGAGAAAAAAGAGTGAGGACAAAAATGCATACCCACTTGACAAGATTTCCAATTCCTGTCAGTCTTAACAAGGCAATCCTGCAAACCACAGATCAGATGGGTTTTTCATGATTTTCAGGGTTTAGGGTTTAGGAATATAAAATTCAATAGAAAATAGGGAAATATTACCTGTAAGGATAGGTAGATAACAGAGCAATCTTTGAGTTGTTTTACATTCTCATCATCATCTTCTACTTCTGTGTGGACAGGAGGTGGTGGCTGCTGCGACTGGTCGCTGCCTTCTGGGTTCGGTTGGGTTAGGGGTTGGTTCATTTTTGACTTCTACCAAACCAAGCCCTAACTTACCCACCAAATATTAATACCACTGATTGTATGAAAAATTACAATTTATTATAAATAGTTTTTGTTTTTGTTTTTGTTTTTGTTTTTTAATACAATAAAAAAATGATTTTGTGAAAAATTACTAAATATTTGGTAAATGAAAATGACTGAACCATTCCGGAAGGTTAGGTGCTTGCTTCACTTTGTATGTGGCATCACTGCATCCCCCACATTAGCCTAACAGCCACCAAGAGTAAGAGGGTTCTAGGCCTAGCTTTCCTAACTTCCCAACTAAAGAAACCATATGGTCCATACCCCACCTTCTTTTATTTATTTATGTTGTTTTTCTTTCCAAATTTGCATATGTCAATTTGGCAATTACATTTTTTTATAGACCCCTCATTGAAGTTATGGGCTTTACCAAAATATATAAATCTTGAATTAGAATATTGAAAAGAAGTTAATCATTACATCAGTTTTGAGTCAGTAAGATATAACTTAGTTGGTTGAGTTTTTCCACCTTCACTCCTATGGGCAGGGGTTCGAACCAGACACTGACTGAATATTTGTGTAAACCCCCTTCTCCATATCACTTGTACTAAAAAAAAGAAAAAAGAAATATCAGTTTTAAAATGACGAGAAAAGCTGTAGAGCATGTTCCAAGCGTAACTCATCTATATACATGTCATATATTGTATATGTGATAGGAATACATCACCTATACGATGTGTATCCTTGACATGCACATATTGCACATGTAACCAACAAATGCGAGTAAGTAGTAAACAAACTAAAAAGAAAAAAAAAAATTCATACTTGGCACTTTGCATACATTGTGTATGTACCTAGTGCATATAATCCGAATTGGTATGATATGGGCATTTCTTTGATAAGATGGTAACATGATAATTCGTTTCATTGTAGATTTAAGTCATTAATTCTATGCATATTCTCAAAAATCACCATATATAAAAAGAAGAATATTTTTACCAAAATAAAAATATATATATATATATATATTGTACACAAATTCATGGGTTATCAAACTTAATATGAAAAAAATAGTAAAATTCGTGATATTAATTGTAACATTTTCTTTCTTTTGGCCCAAGAAATTATTTATGTTGAATCATTAGTGTAGATGATTTTATTATTGTTGAAATTGATATTTATTATGAAATAACTCATGTATATGAGCAGGTGGGTAATATTTCTTAACCATGGTTAGTATAGAAAAGGCAAATTCAATTAACCTTGGTTACTTGGTCTGGTTATCAGGAAAAATAAAAATAAAAACAAAAAGAAATAAAATTACACCCAAAACTTTTGAGAGAGACAGACGTTCTATTCTCTATTTCTCTTTAGACTAATAATTATTAAGAAAATAAGAAAATAAAACAACTATAAATTCTCTTTCTGATTCTCTGATGTTCTGAGACTGGTCGTACCTTTGATTGCTCGAACAATAGCTGGAATCGGGTGCGTCTCGATCGTCTATTCTCTGATTATGAACCTCAAATTCTTATATTTGTATTGGGGATCTTTAATTACACGAACACCCACTTACCAGATTCTTGAATTTTTTTCCTTGATTCTTGTTTTGATCTAATGGGTTGGTTTTGATTTTAGATTTCTATCGAGTTTCACATTGCTAGCTCATATTTATCATGTGTAATCAAGTGGGTATGTTTCAAACGGATTGATTGTTCAGTTTTTGCTTCTGGGTAGTCTTTTCTATATCTTTGATTGACGTGTTTGATTGATTTTGGTTCTAAAATGTTGGCAACCTTTAATTCAGATACTGAGATTTATATGTGTTGGTCCAGTCCTTGTCGAACGCAATATGCTTTTAGTAATCTGGTTTTAATTGGTTTATTTTGATTGACCAGTAGATGATCTTGTGAGCTGGATTCTTGATTGCAGTTATCAATGTTGATATTTATAATTTGTTGTTTGATTGCAGTTTTGGTAGAAATTATCAATTGGTATATTGGTATGGCATTAGGAACTGATAGATGATACTTGATGCATATTGATATGTATATATTGAAATAGATTGTTTTATGCAGCTGAAATGGCATCAATGGTCGCCAAGGGCAGTAGTAGTTGTAGCACCCAAGTATCTCCCTCAATAACTGTTCAAGAAAAGGGAAGTAGGAATAAGAGGAAATTCCGGGCTGATCCGCCTTTAGGTGACCCGAATAAGATAATTCCTTTACCTCAAACTGAATGCACAAGTTATGAATTTTCAGCTGAAAAGTTTGAAATCACGCAAGGTCATGGACAAATCGGCGTCTGTGACCTGTGTACTGTTAATAAAGACCATTCTGATGGGTTGAAACTTGACCTCGGATTGTCCAGTACTGTAGGTTCATCTGAGGTTGGGCCAAGCCGGCCCAGAGAGGAATTAGAAGCAGATGAGTTCCAAGATGCCGATTGGAGTGACCTCACAGAAACCCAACTTGAAGAACTTGTACTTAGCAATTTGGACACAATTTTCAAGAGTGCAATAAAAAAGATTGTTGCTTGTGGTTATGCAGAAGAAGTTGCTACAAAGGCTGTTTTGCGGTCTGGCCTTTGTTATGGGTGTAAAGACACTGTGTCTAATATAGTGGATAATACTTTAAATTTTCTTAGAAGTGGCCAAGAAATTGATCCTTCGAGGGAGCACTGTTTTGAAGATCTACAGCAGCTGGAGAAGTACATATTGGCAGAACTAGTCTGCGTTCTTCGAGAGGTAAGGCCTTTCTTCAGTACGGGTGATGCAATGTGGTGCTTGTTGATTTGTGACATGAATGTCTCTCATGCTTGCGCAATGGATGGTGATCCCTTGAATAGTTTCATGAGTGATGGCGCTTCAAACGGAAGTTCCTCCGTGCCGAATCAACCCCAGTCAAAAATAGAAGCCAAAAGTGTTGAATTGAATCTTCTGAGCCCTTCTAAGCCAGTTCCTTCAATTCCTGGTTCTCATAGTTCACAGTATGAGACACCTGCCATTGCAGGAGGGGTTCCCAACATAGCTAAACCAAAAAATTCCCTTGTTCAAAGTGGATCATTCTCTGAGAAAGAGGTCACAAATTCCACATCGCATAATGGGGATAAATCTTTTGGTGTTTCTGGAACATCTCAATCTTCTGCAGTAGAGGAAAAACTTTTAAGTAGTAGAAAGGTCCATTCTGTTAGTACCAAGAGAGAATACATGCTTCGGCAGAAGCCACTTCATTTGGAGAAAAATTACCGGACTTATGGATGTAAAGGATCTTCAAGAGCAGGGAAGCTGAGTGGTTTGGGTGGTTTAATCTTGGATAAGAAACTAAAGTCTGTGTCAGACTCTACCGCTGTTAATTTAAAGAACGCTTCCTTGAAGATAAGCAAGGCTATGGGAGTTGATGTGCCTCAAGAAAATGGAAACCACAATCTTTCTTCCAATGCTGGACCTTCTTCGCCTAGAGCATTTAACCTGGATGCTGACAATACTGCTTCTGTTTTGCCGCAGAACAATGTCCCATCCATATTGCCTCCTGTCAATACTTCAAATCCACTACCTGCTGTCAGTACATCAACAGCATTACCTGCTGTCAATACTTCAACACCATTACCTGCTGTCAATACTTCTACACCATTACCTGTAGCCAATACTCCACCTGCATTATCAGTTGCTGATACTGAGCTTTCTCTCTCTCTGCCTACAAAAAACAACTCCAGTTCAGTGTCCCTTAGCTGTAAGTCTGATGCAACTAATTCTATTTTTTCTGGAATACCATATGATAAGCCCTCGGGGCAGTGGGTCCCTCGGGACAAGAAAGATGAAATGATTTTGAAGTTGGTTCCAAGGGTGCGAGACCTACAAAATCAGCTCCAAGAGTGGACAGAGTGGGCCAATCAGAAGGTTATGCAGGCTGCTCGTAGGTTGAGTAAGGACAAGGCTGAACTTAAGTCATTGAGGCAAGAGAAAGAAGAAGTTGAACGGCTGAAGAAAGAGAAGCAAACTCTAGAGGAAAACACCATGAAGAAGCTTTCTGAGATGGAAAATGCTTTGTGCAAGGCTAGTGGCCAGGTTGAACGAGCAAATTCTGCCGTCCGGAGGCTTGAGGCGGAGAATGCTGCTTTGAGGCAGGAGATGGAGGCTGCTAAAGTACGTGCTGCAGAGTCAGCTGCAAGCTGCCAGGAGGTATCAAAGAGGGAGAAGAAGACACTGATGAAGATTCAGTCATGGGAGAAGCAGAAGGTGTTGCTCAATGAAGAACTTGTGACTGAAAAACGCAAGTTCAAACAGCTGCTACAGGAAGTAGAGCAAGCCAAAGATCTCCAAGAACAATTGGAGGTGTGTTTTAAATACTTTATTTCCAAGTTCTCCAAATTGACAATTAACGCATGGGGATATAGAAATTAAATTATAGAGGGGGTTGTTAAAAACATAAATCAGGTGGTTGCATAGGATTTTCCAAATGAATCTAAAATTGTCTGCTATCAATATATCCCTTTGACCCAGACTACTGTGCCATTTTCATGTCTTATAACATGCTATTTCTTTGGGATGGCACATTTTGCAGTCGTTTCAAATTAAATGGTACTGCATGTGATGTAATGAAGACGATTCAATTGTGTTGTACTTTTGCTATTTAGATCTAAGCTATTAATATACTCAATTTGCTTTCTTCTTTTGGAGCTTATCATTATATTCATACACACTGTGCACATGTGCAAACAAACAATTTGGTACCTTAAAATTTTCAGTCACACATGGATGGGTCGATGGTGTGAACTTTATGAAAGAGCATGTCAATAGCGTTGTTGTACAACTCATTCTGATAAAATCTTGAAAATGTTCTGTTGTTCGTTTTACACTATTTTCCTTCCTACTTTCTTTAATAGGTTTTAGTTCTGAGCTTCTTCTCACTAAAAGGGAAAGTATGTCGCAGGCTAGATGGCAGCAGGAGGAGACATCAAAAGACGAACTACTTGAGCAGGCCAGTTCAGTAAGAAAAGAAAGAGAACAAATTGAGGCCTCAAC